CGAAAACACACGTCCAGCTTGTACCCAAGGCACAAGTAGGACCAACCCATCACCCTCTTGTCCTGGGGTCCTAGGTCCCCGTCCAAACTGGGACTCCAAGCCTCCGCCACTAAGTCCCGGACTCAGTGCAGTGCAAGGACCTCCTTCACCAAAATAAAACCCTGACAGTTGGTCCGAAAAGAGCTGGAACCCACGATAAAAGAGCAACAAGTCTTCCAAGCACCCATATACAAGTATGTGTTCGGGATAATAAATCTGTGACTTGCCTCGATGACTTATGCAACGACCGGTCCTTAACCGACACAGACATGGAAAGCAGTGTAACCAGGCCATGCCCCGTGTCTACGGTGACACAAACTCTTACACCCACCAATACTCAAACTATATCCCTGCTCGGTCACCATTTTTCTTTCCACTATTTTTATATATTCCAAGTGATAATGATCCAATAATATAGATTTTCTATCTCTCACGAGTGACAGCCATCACTCGACTTCTACTGGAGCCTGTAACATAGCAATCTACACGATCCCGTCATACTAGTAAGACTCATAGGATAAAGATATATATATATATATGCAAGTGGGTTTCATTCAACTCCTTAAAACTTAATGCACAATTATAATTTAAACTGCAGAAAAGTATGGGTTATGCACCAGGGCTTGTCTGGGTAAAATATAACCAAAAGTTAGTATTTGCATTTTTAGATCATCCACATCATCTAAATAGAGAGCCCATTGTATCATCTCCTAGAGAGGATACCATTACACCATCTTCGAATTTCCAATCATCCTTCAATTCATCCGTTGATCCATCATCGTAGCTATATGATATGCATTGATGCAAATGCATAAATGCAAATAATCAACGACAGTCGGGATGTTTAGAAATCCGATCACGCCTCGTAAGCTAACGAGCTAGTTCTAACGACGACCGTACTTAGGCTACATATCCATGTTGTCGAATACGGTATTATTTCACAACAAATGTTTTAGTTATATAAACCCAAGTTATTTCTTTATTTCCTTCTATCAATTTAATCTCTATTCGAAATAGGGCATCATTATCTATCTAGCCGCTAATTATTCCGGAGCTACAAAAATTACAGTGAGCAGCTAATAATATTAGTAATTTACTGTAAAATTTTTAGAGTCAATCCCATCACTGATTTATCACGGAAATTCCTACCAGTTCTTATTTTAACAATATTAAGCATGTTAAAATAATTAGAGAAATTCTAAAAACATATCGAATCTATGCGAACAAAATACACTATTAGATATATCATGATTTTAGAAACTCAACAAAACTGGTTTCATAATTCTTGAACAACTACCCAGATTTATATTGATTTTACAAGTTTATTTTTGAAGCTAAATCAAAAAATGCTTAGAAACTAAAGGGCCAGTGGCTTGACTGGGCCCGCAGACGTGCACGCGGCCTGTTGGCCAGAGGCGGCCCAGCGGCACGGTAATTGGCGCGGTGGCCCAGGCGGATGAGCGACCAGCCCACGCGTGGGAGTAGGCCGGCCCAGCAGCATGCAAGACTGGCCTAGGCAGGCAACACCACCAGCCCACCCACCACAACAACCACAGACCGCCCAACATGAGCGAGCAGCAGCGGCCCAGTGTGCCCAGCCGCCAGAGGCCTAACAGGCCGGCTCACGCGTGGTGAGCGCGACCCAACATAGGCGGTGGTGGTAAATTTGTTAGAAGGCCTCTATACTTTCCTTAAATTAATCTGCGGTCCCCTAGACACTATTAACCCGAGTCACGTATTTTGTAATAAAAACCCTGTACAAAATTCCTACTTATATTCTTACCTTCTCCTCATCCTCAAAACAGAGGAGGCACGGGACAGCGCGGTGACTGGCGACTGACGGCATACCGGGGGGGAGGCTGCAGCACTGGCGATGGGAACCCGCCGAGGAGGGGCACCGGAGCCCGCGCGACCATGGCTTGGCCGCGACAAGACCTGAGCCGGGCCCCGGCAGCCTGCCTACGCGAGCCGTGGCGGCGGCTCCGGCGCGGTGGGCTACTCAGCAGCAGCGCGCGCACGAGAGGAGGAAGGCGAGGGCTGGGAGGATGTCGGCGGGGTGGCCACTGCGGTGGTGCGACGCGCCTGGGAGGGCAGCGCTACGGCGATGGAAGGCGTAGCCATGGCGGGCGCATGCGTAAGACAGCAGCGTGGGCTGAGGGGCTCGGTTGCACCTACGAGCATGGTGGCCGAGCAGCAGGGAAGGAAGGGATGGCGCTGCGGCATGGACGCGCCGAGGGGCAGTAGGCCCAGCGCAGGGCCAGCACCGCCACGGACGGCCATGGCGCGGACTCGCGTGCGGAGAGCTGCGGTGCAAGAGCTGGGGAGGGAGAAAACGACGCTGTTGAGGAGGTGAAAAAGGAGCGGCAACAGCACTTATCCACGGATGCGGTCACGGTGACGACGGCACAATGCAAGCAGAGAGACCGAGAGAGCTAGCAAGCGAGGAGGGACAGTGCAGCAGGCAGCGCCGGGGAGAAACGGTGGTCCCGAGCGGGTTGCTCGGCCGGGCGGCTCAAGAGCGTCGACGCGTGGCACGAGAGAGGCAGCGCAGAGGGGCTCAGCATGGCCAGTAGAGGGAGCGAGAGCGTAGCTGCGCCGGTGCGCAGAGTGCGCGTACGCGAGGGCAGGGGGCAAGGCCGATGACGGAGGCGCTGCGGCTGCTGCGGGGATAAGAACTGTGAACTCGTCACCTAGCTCGGATGGGTGGCCTCGATTCGACGGGAACGTGCTGTGGGAGACCAAGATGGGACGGCACGTCCAAAGTGCAACACGGCAGCGGTAGAGGAAACGACAGCATGGCGTCAATGTGAAAGGACAGCAGAGGCAGACAAGCTCAAGAGGAACAAGCAAGGAGACGCGTGTGACACGGTTACTTCCTAAACACTGCGCCAGGACGTCCTGGCCCAACGTGGCCCGCAGAGCGTGCCGGTTGGCACGAACAAGACCGCGACCGCAGAGATAGGCAAGGCAGACAGCGACATTCATTGCACAGAGATGACACGATGAAACGTGCAGTCGAATGGTGGCGCTTAGCGGGGCGTGGGCACGACAAGGCCAGTGACGCAGGCAAAATGACACGCCGGGGTGCAGAGCCACGACGGGAACGAGACGGTGAATAATTGCCCTACAACGAGTACGCTGTACGCTAGGAAAAATAAACGAAACTACTGCGCTCTTTTTCTCGTCAGTTCGTACTTATCAAAATAAACCCGTGAGTATAAATATATATATACATCGTTCTATTTATTAATGGATGTTATTTTATTTATAAAAGTTACTTTTCATGCTTTAAAAATAAAAAATCCAAGAAGCTCGCTTCGAAAAATTTTCTTAGGACTAAATCACGGTGTTAAACGAGCTCGTAACACCATGGGTGTTATAGGTAGTGGACGAGCTACTATAGAGGAGCTTCTCTGTAGGGAGGAGGCGGCTGGTGGGAGGAGGAGGAGGAGGCCGGTGGAGGAGGAGGCTGTCGCGCGCGGTGGGAGGATGTCGCCGCGCCGGTGGGATGAAGAGGACGTCGCACCAGTGGGAGGAGGAGGAGGAGATCGGTGGGAGGAGGAGGGAGCCGCGCTAATGGAAGGAGGCGGCCGTCGCGCCGGTGGGAGAGGCCCTCGCGCCTCCACTACGACGAGTCAGGGATGAGCGATGCGGAGTGGAGGTGGTGAGCGTGCGAGTGGAGCGCGAGGGGAGCCCATGACCCCACGGTCGGGTCTGGGTCGGCGTGGTCCCCTCAATTTGCTGGTACCGGAGGACCCCGCATCTAGGGAGCATATTCCCTCCTGGGTTGGACCTAGTTTTACCAACCCGCAAACCAAACAATAGCTCATCTAGATCGAACCCGGGATATCCCACCAGAACCCGCAATCCCAATATACGGTAAGTTATTATGTCTTTTCTAGGTACATAATCTTATTGTGTATACGGACATAAAGTATTTTAGGTTTAAAATTGTAAGTCATTTTGACTTTCACATATGGACATATGGATAGAACCATTTGATTTATTGTGAAAATTATTTTCATAATATATTATTAGTTTTATTATTACTTGCACATCAAAACTAGTTATATACCGGAGGACGGAGATAGTGTCAAACTGTCGATGGAGGAGAAGTCATTTAGGTCCTGTTTGGATCGCACCAATTTTTAAGGATTTGGTTTTTTAAAACTAGATGTGATCCAAACAGGCTAGTTTTTTCTCAGTTTCTTGTGTCAGTTTTTGTCAGATTCTTAAAAATCAAGAAACTGTTGATATCCAGTTTTTGCCAGTTTTTTTGACCCTGTGAGCAATAAATGAAGTAAGATTCTTAAAAATTGGAGGATACAAATACCCTCACCAATTTTTGTTTAGAATCCAGATTTTAGAAACTAGAGGCAAAATCTGGTTTTAAAAAATTTAGAACTCACCCAAACATGCCCTCAACCTAAAATAAATCATGTCATCAAAATGAATGAGAGAATTTTTTTTTAATGTAATAACCTCCACCAACTTGCACCCATATCCATTATACTTATCAACTGTGAGTGTTTTTTTTCTTCCGTAAAAAAAAAACATCTTATAAGCCACCGGCAGCGGCAGCGCCAAATAAAAGCAAGCAAAAGCACTCTCTCCAAGACTCCAATATCCACCTTGTCTGCAGTCTGCGCTGCCTCAACCACCACCCGCACTCTCCACCTCTCTCTCTCTCCCCCAGATTTTCACTATCTATTTTTACAATTGCCATTTATCTCTTCTTTTGTTCTTTAATTTAGTTCGTACAAGACTTCTCGGATTACTCGTCTTCTTTGATTGCAATTATCGAAATTCTTTTTTCCTACCTGCATTTTCCTCCTCCAAATTCATCACTCTTGCACTCTGGCTGGCCTCCTTTTGTCTTGTGATCCAAGCCGGTTGAAGTCCTCCGTCTCCTTCCAGCAAGATCTGATACAGAAGGGGAATCGGCAAGAACCGCTCTGCAAATGAGGCCGGATACGCGGCTTGAATCGGCGGTGTTCCAGCTCACCCCGACCCGCACCAGGTGAGCTACCGGATCTGCTCGAGGAACTCCCGGCGATATTTCTCGGTTTCCTCTGTTAATTTGGCCCGAAAACAGGGTTGCTCTTCTCTTCTTCTACTTCCTATATAATATGCCACTCAATTATATATGTCTCGTCTCGTCTGGCTCTGGTGTGTGGCGTGTCTCCAAAAATGGAGCGAGCTCTGGATGCTCGGGCATGGCATTTCCCCATGAAACGGCAAAAGCTTTCGCCTTCACCTCATATACGTAGCCAAGCCTGGCTTCACTATCTCAACACTGCACTGCTAGATCTGATGTGCTCATGCTCTAAATTTGATCGAATACTAGGGCCACAGCTTATCGTCGTATGTCGAAATACCCATTTTTTCTGCCATCGTGATGCAGTATGCAGGCAAATGACTTGCTTCTCTCTTCTAGGTGTGATTTAGTTGTGGTGGCGAATGGACGGAAGGAGAAGATAGCCTCTGGTTTGCTGAACCCATTCGTTGCGCATCTCCAGGTTGCACAAGAACAAATTGCCAAGGGAGGCTATTCTATCACACTTGAGCCTGATCCAGAGATTGATGCGCCATGGTTTACCAGGGGCACGGTGGAGAGGTTGGTGCCAATTGTGCGTCGCATTGTTAGGGGTTATGATTTGCAATTTTTTCTTTGACAATATGGGTGGTGATTTGCATGGTTGTCTTTCGCAGGTTTGTTCGTTTTGTCAGTACACCAGAGGTCCTGGAGCGGGTCACAACCATAGAGTCTGAGATATTGCAGATTGAGGATGCCATTGCTGTCCAGGGCAATGACTGCCTTGGTTTGAGATCTGTAAGCAGACATCTCTGCCTGATAACTTTTGACTATAATAACATACTAATATAAGAAAGATGAGATGTTCATATTTGCGCTTTGTTAGGTGGAAGACTATAATGGGAAATTGGTGGACTGCATGGAAGGTGAAATGCTGCCGTGCACTTCTTCTTTCTTTCGCCATGATTCATAGAACAAACAGCATGTCTGTGGAGTCTTTGTTTTATCACCTAAGTAATAAGCAACGTTTATTTGTTACTGAATTTTTTTTTCTGTATCTTCATGGATCACGATACTTGGCAAATTGCTATGCAGGCTTTACTTTAGAGTTTATTCATTATAAAGTTTGTTGCAATGTAAAATCAGGCAATGTTGTTGGATTGTATACAGGTAGATAGCTTATTTTCAACATACTGGGCTGCACAAGGAAATCCCAGTGTATATGCTGGTTTATGCATGAATAACCTTTACTAGTGTATATGGGTTGTGAAATTAATTGTTTTAGACTTTTGTTTTAGCTTTAGCTTTAGCTAGCTCATTGGAAGTTTTGCATTTTGAGATGGAGCTAGCTATCACGTCGTGCATTTTAGGAAGCGACTGCTCTCATCTACTTCAAAAAAGCTACATTTTTCTTGAAGGATGAATCTGAGCTTCAACTTGTTTTGGCGACAGTTCTTGTATTTTTCTGCCCTGTTGCTGAATGTCCCTAACCTATATACTTACAGGTAGTAAGACAAGTTACAATCCTGATGCAGACAGGGCACTTGTTCCACATAAGGTAAAGTTGTACAGATAAACCTGCCTTTTCTTTCTGCAAAAGAGTAATGGTATATGTGTTTATCATGTTCTGAGATTCCATATTGTTGGCAGGCTGGTACACAGCCAACTCCACCATTGCAGAATCATGATGCTACACAGGAGGAGAATTCAAAGTACCTATGTCTAAAGCAGCCCGTCTTGTTTTCTGTAATGTAGTACTTAAGGCTGCCATGTATGGCAATTGGCAACAAAATTGGTCTACATGGATAACACATTGGTTTAAAGAGAACTTGTTTTCATTATGGAGTAACATATGCTCCATTTCATGATGACATGCATAGATTTCTGGCATGATCATCATTTGGTTCTTCTACTATGTGATCTGTTTACTTTTTGGATGACTTCTTTTTGTGTGTTTTCTCTGGAGAAGCGTTTGTCTGTATTTTTATTTGCATGGTGAATGTAATTGTAACTGCATTATAGAATGTTGTTCATACAATCATCTCATCACAGACTTCTTATTTTGTAGGGCTCAACTGCTCAGAGTGTTGGAGACTCGCAAAACAGTCTTACGTAAAGAGCAGGCTATGGCCTTTGCACGTGCTGTAGCAGCAGGATTTGATATCGACAACTTGGTGTATTTGATCACTTTTGCAGAGCGTTTTGGTGCTTCTCGCTTGATGTAAGTACAGCGTTCTTATGTCTAATTATAATATCCTGCTTGCTCGATTGGATATCTCATTTTTAGTATCATATACATCTTCCTCGGCTCCTCACAATGTTGGGACTATAGTTTATCTTCAACTGACTCTATGTTATAACTATGTTCTCTTTTCTTAGATTCTACTCTGGTGACAGTATAACGTAGGAGCCGTGGTGTAAGCTATTTTCAAACATTGAGAGTTACTTAGAAGGAAGGGCGGGCCTGGTGCAAGCGGTAGTCTTACCGCCTGTGACCGGAAGGTCCCAGGTTCGAGGAAGGTCCCAGGTTCGAGTCGCGGTCTCCTCGCATTGCACAGGCGAGGGTAAGGCTTGCCACTGACACCCTTCCCCAGACCCCGCATAGAGCGGGAGCTCTCTGCACTGGGTACGCCCCTGAGAGTTACTTAGAATCCAAATATTGGTAGTTTTTGCAATATGCAAGTAGCTTCAGCTACATGATCTTATTCAGTAGCTTATGTATCATGCAGAACCACACTATGGATGGTTCTTTCATAGACTGAGTACTGCACCAGTGTTTTTAAGAGTGAAAGTGGAGTGCACTGGCGGTCCCTAGACTTGCTTGGGGGTGTCATCTAGGTTTGGCATTTGTAGTTTCATGTTCCTAAACTTGTTAACTTTTTCACTCGAGGTTCAAACCTTCTTAATCACCATCTAATCACTTACGTTGAAACTTGACTAGTGCCATCGTGGATGCTAAATGTTGAACCCATGAGTCCATAGGCAATCTCTCTCCATCTTGTTTCTCTTTCCCTCCCTCATCTCTCTGCTGTGGGTCTCATCAAAATTTTTGTTTGTTTATTGAGTGTCATGTGAGGGCTAGTAGTGCTATAAGTGACGAGTTGGCAAAAATAGGGTGACACGGTTGCCATGAAGATGCCAAGTAGGTGCATCAATACTAATTTGTGACTTAGGGAGGTTTGGACCTCTGGTAAACCACGTAGCAAGTTTGGGGACTTGAAACAGCAAATTAATAGTCTGGGGACCTAGGTGACACCCCCGAACAAGTTTAGGGACAGCCGGTGCATGTTACTCTTTTATAATTTATTTTAAATTCATATAGCTGGAAACTTACTGCCAGACCTTGACTAAGTTACATGGTTGCCTGAAAGCAAAATTTCACTGTGTTAACTTTAAATCCTTTGATGCTTACCACTTTTTTTTGATAAGTGATGCTTACCACTTTGGTGTGCTTTCAATAAATAGGAAGGCATGCACACAATTCATTGGGTTGTGGAAGCAAAAGCATGAAACTGGACAATGGATTGAAGTTGAACCTGAAGCAATGTCTGCACGCTCTGAATTTCCTCCGTTTAATCCTTCTGGCATTATGTTTATGGGGGACAACATGAAGCAAACTATGGAAGCTATGTCTGTTTCCAACGGAGATGCAAATGGCGAAGATGCTTCTAAAGCAGGTATGTTTTGATGTCTAAACATCCTCCAAGCTATTAAACTGATTGCTGGTTGGTGCAATGACTGAACTTATGTTCTTACAAGTTCACAATAGCTTGTTGTTCCCTGAGACTGGATAATTATTACACAGGAACTTTTTTTTTATGGAGTGCACAACTGTTGACTCTACCCCTTGAAGCTAATTGTCCCATGCTTGATTTAAAAATTTCCCCTATAAGATGATTGAAATATACCCTCAATTTACTGAGTAAGTGTCCTTGGATCTCATTAATAACTTTTGTTGCTTGACAGATCAGAGGACATCTCAGCACTCTGGTGCTCCCCATGAGTTCTTCCATGGTCCATATCAGTCAGCATATCCACCATGGGCAATGCATCAACCTTACTCTATGCAAGGCATGCCTTACTATCCTGGAATGAACCCATATTACCCTTCCCCCTACCCCCCAATGGATGAGACCAGGTACCACCACTCAGAAAGGAGAGTATCAAAGAAACACTCCTCAGATAGCAAGGACTCAGAAACTTCGGATGACAAAAGTGATCAGAGTGGTTCAGAGAGGGAAACTTCTTATGTTCACAGGTCCCATAAAAAGGATAAAAGGACAGGCAAGAAGAAGCCTAGTGTGGTTGTCATCCGAAATATCAATGTAACATCGAAAAGGCATGGATCATCGGATAGTGAATCACAAACAGGTTCAGATGTAGCATCAGAGGACAGTGATGATTCACACACCAGGTCTAGAAAGAAAAAGAATAAGAGTTCAAGTTCAAAGAAAAAAGATGCTAGGAAGATGGTTTTCGAGTCTGCAGATGAATATAGCAAGGATGAAATGTCGTATGGGCAAGATGGAGACCAAGGGAACTGGAATGTTTTCCAAAGTTTCCTGCTAAGAGCTGATGAGAAGACAGGAGATAATGACGCTGACCTATTCACCAGTGAGAAAAAAGCACCCCCAGCAAGGATGAAGGAGAGCAGAAGTGTTGATGATTCTATTATCTTGGCAGAGCGAAATTCTGCTGGGGCCAATGAACATAATACAACAGGTTTCAGTATGGAAAATGGGAGGATTAGACCCCGGCAGATGCTGTCTGGTGATGAACTTATGATGTCTGGGGAAGGGGAAGGTACGAGCTTTGCAGGTGATGACATTAAGGAGATTGAAGCTGGAGGTGTGAGATACAGGAGAGGAACAAGTGATGACTTCATGATATATGGACAGGAAAAGTCAATGGACAGAGGGAGTTCTTTGGACCCTCTTGCAGAAGCACAGTACAAGAGCTCCACCCTGATTGAAAAAAATGTGCACAGCTTGGCAGATGAGTCCTTTATGATACCTCTTAGGTCTACCTCAGAGGATAATCATGAACCAGAATGTCGTACTGCCATTGACATTGATGTTGAGCTTCCCTCAACTGTTCAGAAGATATCAGATGCTAAAGCTGGTAGTCAGCTTTTCTATGAGCCAGTTGAATTGATGCCAGAGCGAGGATGTGAAGACGTTTCATTTGGATATGATCCAGCAATGGATTATAACATTCAGATGCAGAGTCAACCTGCCACCATGGTTGAAGATGCACATGTGGAAGATGCATCATTGAGCGCTGTGGATGAAGTAAAGAAGCCAGAGAAAGACAAGAAGCTAAGAAGTTCACAGGAGAGTTTGGATAAACGTAGAAAAGATGCTTCAGTGAGGAGGTTGTCATCATCAAAAGGCCCGCTGACTGATGCACAGAAACGTGCACAAAACTTGCGAGCATATAAAGCGGATCTTCAGAAAGCAAAGAAAGAGCAGGTATTGGTGTATTACTTTTTTTATACCTATTAACTCTTTTTGCTTGAATTATATTGATGCTCCTTGCCACCCAGCATTTGTTGTTTTAATCTAGTTAATGTTGTACACAAGTTAAAATTTTCAGGTATGATGTTCTCTTATTAGCTTGTCTAGAATCTTGTAGTTTTGATGTGGAATACCAATATTACTTTAAAAGTAACCTTAATGTTTAAATACTGTCTCCTATCTGCCTTATTGGAACACAGACCAAGTTGATTATGTAGCAGGCTATCCAGCATCATTTGGCGCAGATGAGCATATAGCTCAATGGTGGAGCACCTAGCAGAGGTGCCACCCACCCAGAACTTGAATCCTGGGTGCTGCACTGGTGAGGTTCCTGCCCCAGCCAGGGCTTCGGTGGGCCCCTTCTTAAAGCTAAGCAGAGGGGACTTCCTTTCTCCCTGATCAAGTATTTTTATCCACCATCATTTGTCAGATGGTTGTCTCTTCATGTGATGGCTCCACTAAATAGTGTTTGCCTAGGAAGATAGTTATAGCTACCTAATAATTGCCTTAGAAGCAAGGTGTACAAAATTGCAAATATTTACACACTAAGACACGCGATCTAACATGAAGAATAACTCGAATTGGGGTAGTGATTCTTATTATCCTGCCTGTTGTTATAATGGAGGTTTATTTATTGATAGAATTAGCCTAACCTGACAACTTGTTGCAATATCTGTAATCTTTTCAACATTGAGTTGGTGATTTTCCCATTTTTAGGAAGAGGAACAGATCAAACGGCTAGAAAGGCTTAAGCTAGAGAGGCAAAAGAGGATTGCTGCAAGAAGCAGCACTTCCAATGCACCAACACCACAGCAGCCCAGAGTCAAGCCTTCTCCCAAGGTTTCCCCCAGTACCTACAAGAGCTCAAAGTTCAGCGATGCTGAACCTGCATCCTCTTCACCTCTCAGAAAACTTCCTGTCAAAACTACCCCAGGGATGGATCCTCAAAAAACAGCAAAATCAAGCAAACTAAATGATAATACTAATGCAGTTAGTAAGTCAACCTCATCATTGACAGAAATGAAGGAGAAAAGTGGGAGGACCGAATCATCCAACGAGAGATTGAGAAAACTTGCTGAACCTAAAACCAACAGTTCAACTGGCCATCCTTTGAATTCCAAGTCAGCAAGCGCGGACCACCCACGGAGAAAAAGCATGCCACAAGATACCCAGACAAAGAAAATTTCAGCTATAATGCAGCTTGACCAGAGTAAATCAGCAACACTACCAGAACTGAAGGTCAAATACCCGCAAGCTCCTGCTGTTGCGAAAAATGCAGTAGCTAGTAGAGAAAAAAAAGAGGTTTCACCTGGAGCTAAAGTTCTTCCTACAACAGAAACTGCTGGTGTAAAGGAAACTAACGGTAACATCTCGAGGATGAACAGCAGTGATGATAATGTGGTGGTTGAGAAGACTGTTGTGATGCTCGAAAATGAGGTGGTTTCAACACCTCCGGTCATTCTACATTCTGGAAGAAATGCAGCAAAGGAAACTTCTGGTGATGACAGGACAGAGAAGCCCAGTCCGGAATTGGAGTACATTGCTATCAGGGCTCCACTGTCTCCAGTTATTCTTCCGGAGGCTGAGACTCCTGTCACCAATGGATCTGATGACCAGGGGAGCTCATATGAGGTATGGTATTTATGCTGTTCTTTTCGGTTCTCATTCACACCTTTGTTTGTCAATTTTCATGATCCCTGTTTCATTGTTTCTGTGCATTGTATTCCTGATTGGTATGTATGCAGTCATCAACTAAAAGGCCAAACTTTGCTCTGTACTATTAAATTGAATGTGTCTTGTTGTGATGTAATATGATTTAATGGATCTGGTAAGCTAGAGTAATAAAAGAATGCCCATTGTGACTAGGTGGTGACTGAGTGTCTAAAGGATGAACCTGAGAGGCCAACCTTGGCCGCCGTGGAGAAACCTTACCAGGCCCCCTTTGCTAGGGTCACATCGCTGGAGAATGCATCAGACAGCAGTCCATTACCTGTGCGAGAACCTGAATCCCTTGTGCATTCAGATAGCATCAAGGCTCGAGTGCCTGAGCCTGTGTACACAGTTTCAGTTCAGGGCCATGAGGTAAGTGAAAAGGCTCGAAGCAAAGAGCCAAAAGGCTTCAGGAAACTTTTGAAATTTGGCAGGAAAAGCCATGCTTCAGCCTTGATTGAGGGTGCAATGGATTCCGACACGTCATCAGTTGACGAAGCCTCAGCAGGAGATGGTATGGTAGTCTGTCTCAATAGTTTGTTAACTTATTAAATAAAGTTGTTCGCTTAAGGCCAGGCCATTATATAAAAAGGGGATTCTGCTAGCATTATTTTAAGAAGAGGGAGCAATAGAAATAGAAAAAGAAGACATGAAAACATGTTTCTGCGCTTAACTATGTCCATGCTGATGTCAAGAATGCTCAACACCTTGCTGTGCTTAATATTTCAGGTTCGATGTTGAAGAATCTCATTTCTCAAGGTGACTCTGGTGCTTCTTCAAAAGGTTATTGATTACCACAAGCACAACTTGTCTCTTGAATTGAATCTAGTATGACTTGGATGAAGGGCAGGCCTGGTGCAGTGGTGAGAGCTGTCTCACTGAGTCACCAGGTCGTGGGTTCGAAGCAGCCTCGCCGCAGATTTTGCGGGGGGAAGGCTTGCCTTGGTTTTTCCCTTACCCAGACCCCACACTGGGTCTGCCCCTTTTTTATATGCATGACTTGGATACTGTCAGCAGTAAAATATTCTGTGAAACAAAAACAATGCTTCTTGGTCCCATTGCTGCACCAGAACTAAATGAACACTATGTGAATTTATTTTTGCACTTGGTGGTGGAATGTTCACTGTGCTTGTTTACTGTTTCAGCTTCTCGGTCGTTCTCCCTACTGTCACCGTTCCGCAGCAAGCACAAGGTGATTGTGGTGTGAGCATGGATCAGCGGCAATTGGGAGGAGAGGAATGGCGCAGCACAGCACAGCACAGCGCAGTACATACTTTTGGTGATGTGTTTGGAAGAGCTTTTGGTTTTCCAAATAGTATATACACACACACGTATACATAAATACATACATGTTCTATGGTGGCCTTGAAGGCTGTGTACCGATGGATGGTAGTTTGCGTTGCAATTGTACATCCCTTCTTTTGTTGTTTTATACCCTAACTATTTGTGTATGGTGATACTCGAGGAATATGGTTCGGTCCATGTGGGTGTGATATTCTATTTTGTTCCAGATTTAATATGCAAATGTTTTGCACTCATCATAGGTAGATTCATAGAGGGAGGTCCTGTTTGGACGTTGTAGTATATTATTAAAAAAATAGTTCTAAGAAACTACATGATATGGGTAAGGGTGTCCCAATCTTTCGGTGGAGAGGAATAACTTTGAAGTGGTTAACATGGTCATATCTGGTGATGTCCTCATCGCTGCAGTGGCACCATATATATAGATTTATATATACTACTGTCTACTGTGCTATAGCACCAACAATAGATTTACTGTGCAATAGTACTAACAATAGATTTACTGTGCAATACCATGGTTTAGAAAGAAAAAACCATGAAGTTTGTTGCATCCAAACGCATCATGTCACTCTAAAACCAAAATATTTTATAAAACCATGGTGTTCTTTTTTTTTATATATATGAAGGCAACATAGCCGGATGGATTCTGTCAGTCTCAATCTCAACTCTCAGGTCGTCCACTCATCTGTGTCAGTAAGGTAGGTAGTAGGCACACGATACGACAAGTATTCCTAGCATGTTCGATTTTCAGTCGTGAAGTATCGTCGTCGAGTACAAGCTCACAGTCACAGGCCACTGCTGTCATCGTCGTCGCTGCGCTCAGCCGTTGCTGTCATCGTCCGTCGCGGTAGACATGCCATTTCAAGTATCTCTGGTGGCCTGGCAGGAGCGGCCGCAGCCGAGGGGCGACCTTGCAGTCGGAGGAGCAGCAGCCGCGCAGCTCCTCCGCACACCAACCGCAGCACCTGCGGCATTGTAAATCGTTGGGCGTTGGTCAGTCAGCTCAGCTGGGGATCACTGATCGATGGAGATGGTGACGGAGACGACTGACGAAGAACGCACAGATATAGGCGGTTGCAGTCGATGTTGGCGCAGTTGCGGTGCCGCAGCTCCACCACCTCAGATCTGCACGCGTAGCAGCATCCCACCCACCTCCCATTCTCTTCTTTCTCTTCTTCCTCCGACGGCAAAGACTGCCTGAATGTCGCTGGTGGCAGCGAGAGCCGGCCATCGAAGACGAAGAGATTCCCCACCCACCCCGCTGGCTCCTCCGCCTTGAGATAGTTCGACACTCCTCCCTCCAGTGTATACAGATTCCGAAACCCCTTCTTCCTGCAATAACAATGCATTATGGCTTGCTGCAATTAATGTCCTTGTTCATCCTTATATAATATAGCCGAGAGGTAGTATATATATATATAATTACCTAAGAATTGTTGAATATACGTCACACCTTATCCCCCCGGTGCAGTACATTAGTATGTCTGTCCTCTCTCTGTCTATGCCATTTAGAGGATCCGAAGGGTCCTCCATCTATAAATAACCAATTACATATTAACAGTTGCAAATATTAAACAAGAATCGCCCACCATGACAGCAATGTTATGTATTACCTCTCCCGAGAGCCCAAAGGAAGTGCTTCTGAAGCAGTCCACATTAGGCCGCTGGGCACCTTCAAAATGCCCAATATCCCATTCATAGTCTGATCCAAGAGAAAGGAAGGGAACAAATTAAATACATCATCACACTGTAATAAGCAACCATATAGAATACAAGAATGATGATGGGCTTTGCTTAGCACTTGTCCTAGCCTTTTTACACTGTAATAAGCATAGGCACAGCTGGAAGCCTAGAAGACACTGATTTGATTTGTCATTCAAAGAGGGAGGGAACAAAGTGCTCCGATTCAGCCAGAACACAATGTGCCTATATAAAAGTACTTTACCATTCCTCACATCAAGCAGCAAAAGCCTCCTTCCAGATGTTTCACTTGAGGACACATCAAGGCATGTCCTAGCTTCAAGTCTTTCCTTCCACTCTGATGGAGTCAATGGCGTCGCACGCATGTTAGGGTCCAGCAACGGAAGATGCAAACTACCTCCTTCTAACTGGAAATTTCATAATAAAATAAAATGTCTTAAGACTTCACTGAAAGTTGGATTAAAAAACAAATAAAAAATTTGAATAGAGAAAAACTAAAAGGTCAAGTTTCTGATACACACACAACTTCAGTGATGAATGACTCACAGAATAACACTTGACACAGTCAAATACTTCTCTCTCTTCCCCTCTCTCTCTCATGATATGGCATGAGAACTACCAATTCATACTAATATAAAGTAGCACAAGAAAAAACGATACAACACCAGATCTAAACGGAGACTTGAAGAGGAACACGCAATGCTACCAGCAATGTTTTCAAGTCGTCCGATTAATCGTGATTAATCGCGATTAGTCGGTCTGGTCGGTACCATGACCTCGATTAGAGACTTCGACTCGATTAGCTCGACTAGAAACCTGGTCGTTCGACTAGTCGACGACTAATCAGCCCAGGGGGCTGCACGACCAGGCTGGGCACTGCCTTCTTTGGGCTTGCCTGACTGGGCTTCCAGGTGAGTAGTTGGGCTGCCAATTTGGCCCACTCGGGTCTGTAATATATATACAGGAGGCCAAGTCTCTAGGGTTCCCATCTCTCATTCTCTCCGGTGCGTGACGGCTGCTGCTGCTCTGGTCTTTCTCTCTTCTCCTCTCCTGTGCGTGACGGCTGCTGCTGCTCTGGTCTTTCTCTCTTCTTTGCTCCTGTGCGTGACGGCTGCTGCTGCTCTGCTCTTTCTCTCTTCTCTGCTTCTCTTCCCCAGCCAGCACGCCTCTTGGTGAAGCTCTTCCCTGGCCCTGCGCCTCTGCTCCCCCCTAGCTCACGAAGATGAGCTCTTCCTCCAATGATGGTAGGTGTGCCTACTGCCCAGACCAGACTCGACTAGTCGTCCTGGTCGACGACTAATCGCGACTAATCGTCTGGTCGGTCCCATGGCGACCAGAGTCGACTAGACGACTTGAAAACATTGGCTACCAGTTGCGTATCGTTGTATTATTAAGTAGAGAAAAGGGTTCGCTACAACACTGACCGCCAAAAGCATCCACACTGGTCGTGTTTGCCATATTAGTGATATTATATACACTAAGCTTGGGGATTGAACCTTGAAACAGAGGGCTTAAAGTTTCTCCTATTGAAGCGCATACATCTTCTCAAGCTTTATTATCTCTGGACCCTTATAGGCTAGGAATTTTTGCTCAGCAGTGCCAGTAGAGCCAATCTGACGCTACTGAACCTTGTATTTCATGTGCAACAAAAAACAGGGATAGCTTACCTGAACAAGTGATGGTTTGTACCGTAGTTTCAGCCGAGGGAAGGCATGCCCAGTTACAGCTGGTGAGGTTTGAACAAGCATATCAGAAAACCGATGGTGTTTCTTAACCCAGTCTGCATATGCCACTGCATCTTTGTGAGGTCCACTGTACTGCGGCAATAGCAAAATTTAGTAGAATATAAAAATAACATCACAGGTGCAGCAGCATTTTTGGACCATGTAAAAGAATAAAGATAGGGCCTAGCACATTCACGTGCATTAATCGAACCACTTAATGCTACACTACATTAATTTAATATTGTGATGACAAGCCAACAATTGCTTTTGACTAGAGTTGTTTTCAATTCGAAAGAAAAATAGACACGATGCGAGAGCATTTGCTTTGAACCAACATAGGTTAACCACAGTCATTGGCAATAATGCGACTGTAAGTGCTATTCTGGGGATGGAGCAGAAGCTTGTTGTGTTACCTGAGCATTGATTCCCTGCTCATTCAAGTAAATGCGACCATGTATGTCGCGTCCCTGATATATAGGATAGAATACATAAAAAGAAGAAGAAATTTAGGCCAAAGCATGTGGTAAATTGGGTGGAGAAGGAGAAGAGGCACGGTAGTACGAGACGGAGGCGAGCAGGAAGGAAGAAGAACCTGGAGGAAGTTGAGGTGTCTGACGACCTCGGCGTGGGGGTCCTCGAGGGGTACGAATTTGTAGAAGGTCACCACGACGAACCGGGCGTCCTCCTCCTCCTCCTCTGGGGGCACGAACTCTGGCTCTGCAAGCGCAACGGCATGCGTGCCGAGGCGGAAACCGGGAGCCGGGAAGAAGGAACGGAGGCCGGCTGGGCGCGGCGAGAAGGAGAGGCGGGGGTGGCGAGACGGAGTGGGGAGAGGCCGGAGGAGGTGGCAGTTGTGGTGGACGGCGGACGCCATGGCTTCCACGCACGCGGCACGCTATCCGCTCCTGAATGACGATTTCCGGTACCATCCCTTTTTTTTTCCCGTGTCACTGTCACAACTCACAACAAGTCCTTCCTTCTTTTTCCGGGAAAATTGTATCAGTACCATTAAAAGATTTAAAGTTTAGAAAAATAGCACCGAAAGATTGGGCTTTAGAAAAATAGCATTGAAAGATCACTCTGTTGTAGAATTCTACCATGTCTGTTAAGTTCCTGTTAAAACTGAGAATAACAAGTGAAAAAACTGAATTGACCCGAAAGGTCTGCAGGTGCGTGAGTTGGCTGTGTGCACTTCAGCCGCCATGCTAAACTGCTAACACCTGCCTCTTCATCCATCGATGTTGAATTGTTGATCTTTTCTTGCTCGATCCCACTTCCCGGCTCCGATCTGTCTCTGGCAATCCGGCCTCACCTCGGTCTGACGCGAGTTCTCATTCGATCAAAGCATCGGCGATTTTTCAATGCCGCCGCTGCAAAGATGTATAACGCGATTTCGTGCCGTGCTTTACTTCAACCAATGGGGCCGCTCATGCCCGTGCTCGCAACCCGCTCAACCCGGACATGAGCCCCCACACGGCAT